ACCCACAACCACACCCACACCCACACCCACACCCACACCCACACCCACACCCACACCCTATACATTGAATGCAACTACCATCCAATGTTGTGATACTGATTGTTAAGCAATTTTTTTTGTTTTTGGGGCCGTTTTGACATTTTCAGAAAAAAAATTTATTAAAAAAAGTAATTCCGAGATGGCACATATTCGAATCAAAAGACAGATCATGAGTATTTGTGAGTGTTAGTGTGGCGAGGGTCGATTTGATTGCCTTTGTTGAAGGTGACTTTCTTTCTATTAATTACACAAAGTGGACATTAGTGGGTGTTTGGGAGCATGAGTAGTTGAGATGCGGATGTTAGTAAGATTGGTTTAAGTCGCTAAAGAAGAGTTGAGTGCTTTGTCTGTTAGCATAAATGAGTAATACCAAGGAAGTAGAGAAGTTTAATCATAAGTTAATCTTTTATTTTTCTTGTTATAGTAATGTCCTTGTAAGAATAACATCTATTTTTCTTTTTCATCACAGTCCTTCAAGTGGCTTCGTACCCTGAGAAGGGATATCCTCCGTTTCTGAGAGGACAAAGTAATTTAGTATTCATAAAGTCACTGGGTTCGCATGATTCCTGTCCTCCATTGTGTATGTCACACTTAAGGAGAGTGCCACAGCAGTTCGGGACAGTTCTCTTCGCTTCTACTCTACCAGACCCGGCGGGAATCACCCTACCGGCGCATGTCAGTGCGTGATAATGAGCCAAGAGAAGCCAGATGCTACGATTAGCAATAAAATTAAATTTATTGAGCAAACAAAAAGAGAACAAATTCATATCTTTTTTAAACGGTTAATGCTATCTATCATTGTTTTAATATCAGGATGTGTTAGTGGAAGTGATTTTTGTGCTATAGTAACTACCTTTTCCAGAAAAGAAAATGCTTTTGAGTAGTCACCCATGCTGTAATACACCATACCGATGATGTGGTAGGACTGAGCCAAATCTGGATGATTCGGAGGCAGAGTTTTTTCTCTTATTTTAAGTGCTTTTTCAAAAAATTCAAGTGCTTCCAAATAGCTACCCATCCTGCAATACACTCCACCGATGATGTAGTAGGAGTGAGCCAAATCTGGATGATTTGGAAGCAGAGCTTTTTCGAAGATTTGAAGTGCTTTTTTTAAATATTCAAGTGCTTTCGAGTAGTTACCCATTAGGCAATACACTCCACCGATGTTATTGTGGGAAGCAGCTAATAAGGGATGATTCGGAGGCAGAGCTTTTTCGAAGATTTGAAGTGTTTTTTCAAAATATTCAAGTGCTTTCGAGTAGTTACCCATGTGGCAATACACTCCCCCGATGTTGTTGTAGGGCTGAGCCAAATCTGGATGATTTGGAAGCAGAGCTTTTTCGAAGATTTGAAGTGCTTTTTCAAAATATTCAAATGCTTTCGAGTAGTTACCCATGTTTTGACACACTCCACCGATGTTGTTGTAAAAAGTAGCCAATGAAGAATGATTCGGAGGCAGAGCTTTTTCGAAGATTTTAAGTGCTTTTTCGTAAAACTCAAGTGCTTTCGAGTAGTTACCCATATCGTTATACACTCCACCGATGTTGTTGTAGGATTGAGCCCAATCAGGATGATTCGGAAGCAGAGCTTTTTCTCTTATTTTAAGTGCTTTTTCGTAAAATTCAAGTGTTTTCGAGTGGTTACCCATGTTGTAATACGCTGCACCAATGTTGTTGTAGAAACTAGCCAATGAAGGATGATTTGGAGGCAGAACTTTTTCGAAGATTTGAAGTGCCTTTTCGTAAAATTCAAGTGCTTTCGAGTAGTTACCCATGTTGTAACACGCTCCACCGATGTTGTTGTAGGATCGAGCCAAATTGGGATGATTCGGAGGCAGAGTTTTTTCGAGGATTTTAAGTGCTTTTTCGTAAAATTCAAGTGTTTTCGAGTAGTTACCAATGTTGTTATACACCAAACCGATGTTGTTGTAGGTAGTAGCCAATAAAGGATGATCTTCCGGACGAGTTTTTCGGCTGATCTTTAGGGATTTTTCGTAAAATGATGCTGCTTCTTGGTATAGTCCTTGATGCTGTTTCAGAAATGCCAGATTGTGGTAAATTGCAGCTGTAGTATCGTCGTTGTATGTTTGTTCGAGTAGTGCAGTATACAATTTCTCGGCCTTACTATATTGTCCTATTTCTAATAGCAATTTACCCAATCGTGACCAACAGCTCTCATGTAAAGCTTCTTGCAGTATACTTTCTGTGAGTTGACGCAGTTGTTGGTCTTCATCTGATGTCAATGTTAGATTTACTTGATAAATTGAGCTTTCATTGGGAAGTTTTCGAATTTCACCAATTCGAAAGACGGTGTGCATCGAAAAGAGGATTTCATTTTCTTCAGCAAAATAACTCAGTTCCCAGATAGAGGCAAATGGACTGGATAAGATGGTCGGATCTATGGACATTCGAAAAAGGACGCCCACCGTACCAGATTTTCCTATGATACTTTCGGCAAAAGCAAGAGAAGCAGCTTGATCTGTACTGGTGGATAAAAAATTATTGAAGGAAATAAGTCCACCTTTGTTCTTCTCGAGTTTCTCGAAGTCGATCGCCGATAATCCTTGTCCTCGAAAAACTTGAAAGATCTTCCCATGATAAAGACTGACCTGTTGTTTGTGTAAACTTTCGATTTGTCGATGCAGATCAGCAAGAAAAAAGCCCATTTTTATAATTATCTCACCATCCAATGTTCGAAGAGACCAGTTGAGCATCTCATAAAGGAAAGGCTCGCGAGTGTACCACCAAATTGCTGATTGATCACTATATTGGCATTCGAACTCAGCGATAGCTTTTGCTTTTGCTATGTTATTATTGTATTCATTTCGCCAAAATTGAATAAAATCTTTCTTGGCTTGTTCACTATGTTCCATATCAAGGAGAATTTCCTTGAATATTTGGGAGTACATGAACGAAGCTTCAAGCTGATTGAGATCTTTGTTGGAATCTTCTCCATTTACACTGATAATGCTTACGGATATGTCATCTTTATTGCATTGCTTGACAGCCATTTGCAATGCTTCACAGATGAGCGGAATTTCTGTATATATACCATTAACTTTGTTCCAATGATTGTTCCAGTCTTCTTGTGTAGTTTTGATACTACAATCAATGTAAATGCTATCAAGTTGAGGAATATCATGGATAAAGGGTACTATTTGTTGGCCTATAGTATCTGATACAATGAGAAATGCCTTTTGATTATCGACTTCAGTGAGGAAGTCGACACACTCATCACGTTGTGTAAAGATATAGACTTCATTTGCGATGGTTTGCAGCTGTTGGAGTGTATTTTGGTAATCTTTATTTGCTGGATTAATGTTTTCATCGATCCAGAGGATCAAATAATTTTGAGTGGTGTGTCGCGTTGATCGCATGGTAATCGATGGATCTGTTGTGTTTGCATTGGTGCTCATTGTTGATTTGGAAATATTTTGTTTTGATTTTTGTTCATTCATGTTCATTGTGAATTGTCGTTTGTTGGTGAATAGAGAATGATGGATAGTTGTTTATCGTTTAAAGAGAGATCATTTCTTCTATTTATATAGTAGGTGCCTTCTGTTTTTTCTGTGACATAAAGTGTAGGTGTTTGTTTTTCGTCAACACTCAACGATAAACGTCATTGAGTTTGAAAAGAAAATATGATTGTTAACAAAAAGAAAAGAGAAAAAAAATCTAACAACGTCATTGCTTGCATTATTATTCTTTCCAACTTTCGTTTGATTTTCATCTGTAACATGACTTAAGTGGCATTATGCTGGATGCCTTGCCTCATACAACATTTTTTTCAAAGTGATTTTTTTGTTTTTCTGGCAAGAACGAAAAAAGAAACAAAAACATCATCAGTTCGATTGTTTTCACTCCGCTTTCGATCGAGGGTGTGGGTGTGGGTGTGGGTGTGGGTGTGGGTATGGGTGTGGGTGTGGGTGTGGGTGTGGGTGTGGGTGTGGGTGTGGGTGTGGGTGTGGAT